AACTGCCCCCTGTGCTCTTGTTGCTGGAGTTGGGTAGAAGTTTTGTCGGTGTAGTTACATTAGCGTATAAGTGTTTTAGTATTATGTGGTAGGGAGTGTGAAAGCAATATGCACGATTAAGTTTTACAGAATATTACCATAACTAAAGATATGTGATATTTTTGTAAGACGATGTTAAGTTGTAACACGTTAGTAATCCCAGCAACAGTGCAGACTGTAGCCTGTAAAGAACAGCACAGTTGACACAAATTACTAGATTTAAATTAGGTACTGAGTGAGCATACCAAGACATAAAATATATTTTGTTATACACCATAAAGTAAAAAATTACAAGGTGAGGTGAAAGCAGTATATATGCTTTAACAGAAGCCAGACGTAGAAATTCACATGAGCTGTAACCCCTCTAATATATTGTGATGTTCACAATCGGCCTGTGGAGGAACACTGCAAAGTAAATTGCTTATAAGTTTGTTGTGCAATCAGTTGTGATGATTCATTTCAAAGTGCAAGAACAGTCATTGAAAGAAAAAGTACCGCTACTGTCTATGGTGTGAGTTGGCCAAGTTTATTCAGGCACGTTTCAGTATATAACCTCTGCAAAACATTGTAACAAAATATTTATGAATTAAATTTTTAAAAAAACTAAAAACTTCATTTTCTTGGGGTAAAAAATATGCCTTCACAGTAATTAACTGACAATACTACTAATTATTATGCCCAGGATTATTATTAAGGATGTCTATTCTGATATTTTATATTACAATATTTGCATCTTATATTAACATTTGGACCATCTTAACTACAAGCTGTTCAAATAAAATCCAGCCGTATTAAATGTTTTTTTTTTTTTTTATCTAAAACCACAAATTGAGGAAACAAAAACAGAAATATGGGATATTTTTATCATAACAAGAGACATCCACATCTTCAAGGTTTATAAGGAAGCATGTCTGTCACACACTTTTGCATAAAGCCTGCATTAAGAGCTGCTGACTCCATCTGTTTGGGTACCCCTATTTTTAGACTTCTGTTAAATGCTTTTTATCTTTTGTTTGTTTATCAGACAAGACTGGTCAAAATTTATTTTACAATGCACGGTAAAATGATTTCATTAAATAGTCTGATATCAACTTTTAGAGAGTAAAATCCAGTGTAGACACTCCTCGAAGCCGAGGGAGGGTGAAGAAACTGAGCCCGAGTGTGAAGTACACTAAATCACTGAAGAGTTGGGGAGTATGGGCCTCCGCTGAGAATTAGCCACTGATAAGGTAGATGAGAAGTTGTGTTTTTTTTTCCTTCAGGTTTCTGAGAGCTGCACATTCCTCTCAGTCCTATGGAGTTTATCACTCATAAGGACACACTATAACCTCTTAGAAAGTGGGATGACATAGCCCTGACCAAAGTAGACCGAGGGCAGACCAAAGACCTGACATGCACTCATCCCGCTCTCTGACTCATGCTTAGTCGCTCACCACCCACCAACACACAGTGAAACCTCAGTCCCAATGCCAGGTTTTGTCACTGGGCAGAGAAGCGGTTGGCTACAGTAAAAGCATGACGTGATGCCCCTTCCTCTATGCTCCCCCAGCCTGTGCAGCAACAGAGGGGTAAAAATATCCCACCAGTGAGTTCAGACAACCAGCTCATAAATTAACACTAAAACTCCTACAGACAACAGTGGGCCAGTCGCTGAGAGATTTAAACCACTCAGGTTGCCACTGACCACAGCTCTGGGATCAGCTTACAAAACCCTTTTCCTAAATTTACCCATTAGGAGGTGGTGAATAAGAACAGGCTGTAGATCGGTTTTCACCTAAGTCACTATTTATCTGTACACTCACATAGTGAACTATTTTTCAAAATGGCTCTGGGATGCTTTGTTCCAAGAAATGTTATGAGGTGAGATGTAGGCTATTAGGCCTAAATTGGGAATTGTGTATAACAGAAAAGGTCTGTTCTTAATTTTACGAAGCTTGCACAGAAAATATAAAGTATAGGTTTAGGCTCAGCTATTCACTCATATCTTATTAAGGTTTGCCCGTAATGAAGCGCAATCTCTCGTTGCTCCCAAGTAGAAACACAATGTTCCAGCAAACTGCTTGACTGGGTCAAAAAAAAAAAAGGAAAGAAAAAAAAAAAAAACAACAACAGGAGAGAAGAGTGATGATCCCCTCTAAAGAAACTCAACTCTGTAATGGACGGACAGGGATTACAGACGTTAAAACCTCCTCCATCTGTAATTCACTGTCACCCTGCCATCATCTCTGAATCACTGATCCATTTTGCAAGTGTGCGAGACCTTGCTAAAAGCATCACTGTTGCACCCATTTGTGTTTGTAGTGGTGGTGGTGGTGGTGGTGGGGGAGAAAAAGGGAGGAAAAAAAAGCATGCAGAAAAGACAAGTTAACAGCTCGCTGTGCTGTTTCAAAGCACTCTCTGTCCTGTAACAACCACCTAGCTAGTTTCTCACACAGGGAATGGGACACACTGATCAAATAGGATTTTAATGAACATCAGCAGTTGGGAGCCTGAGGAATAGACGCTATGATGGCTTAAAGCTACTGACATCTAGGTTGGGTTGGATTTTCATCATCAAAAGAAACAGACACACAAAAAAAGAAAAACATTCCTTTGCTGGTGCTTCTCACACAGACAACACAGACTGTGAATCTAAGTGCACACTGTCCGTTCGATCACAAGGAAGAGGCAAATGAGAAAGCAATTGGCTGACAAGGCCATGTGTAGACCACGATCATATCATACTAACCCCAAATTATCCTCAGAAACAGGATAAGGGAAAAAAAAAATGTTCTTCTCTGAAGGCTTTCCTCTAGGAGCCTCTCAGTGGGAGGGAGAGTAAATAAGATGTCATCAATAATAGACAGTGAATGTTCTGAGCAGTTCCGCACACACACAAGCACACACAAGCACACACGCACACACAAGCACACACACACACACACACACACACACACACACACAAAAGCACACACACAAAAACACACAAGCTCCGACTGATTCCTATCCTGCAGACAGGCCTGCCAACCGCCAGGCTTTTTGCACACGCTCAGATTCACTGTCCTGACTAATCGCTTGTGATAGGGGCCTTTGCCATAATTACCCAGGGCCTTATCACAAACTTATGCGATGCATTTTTCATGTCCTGGCTGCTGGCAGTGCCTTCACTGTCCGTGCTGGCAGTCAATCTACGAAAAAGACTGATCTCAGACAAATTCTCACACACACACACACACACACACACACACACACACACACACACACACACACACACACACACACACACCAGTTCTTCTAACAGGGCGAAATGGGTGAAAGCAGGGTGAAGGGCCAGGGAAGAGAGAGGAAGAAAAAAAATTAAAAAGGAGGGGAGGGGGAGGTGAGGGAGAGAAAGATTGGGGGTGGAGGGGGGGTGGTGGTGGTGGTGGCGGCAGGAAGGGGGTGGGAGATAGATAGTGAGGAAAGAAAAGAGAAAGCAGTCTCAATTTTTTTTACATAATGCATGAACAAGGGGGCAAGAGTAGGAGGACCAAACGGGATCAAATAAATAGGAGAAGTGAAGCCTTGATGATGTGGCATAAGTGCGACACAAAGCCCGCTGGGAAGACTTGTTCACTGTCCTTTTGTCTATCCAGTCATAGGGGCATCATGACCTAAATAAAAGTTTAAATCCCAAGCCTGTGCAATTCACAAAATAATGTATGAACAATTGAAAAGCTAGCCTACATAATGCAATCTTATGTTAATGACGACGGCGACTGGGGCTGCTAATATTCATAAATTGTGATTTGAAATTCAGCAATGCACGTTAAATGCCAGTGGAAAACACAACAGTGCCATTGTCTACATGTCTTGTGATAGGTCAAACACGGCTCTAATATACACACACAGGCAATATTCTCTCACACACACACACACACACACAGAGTGAATAGGCCCAATATTTCCCCCCTCTTATCCTTTTACTGTGCCATTGATCTCCTCCCGTGCACGCCGAGATTAGTGGCATTTCTGGAGTTCATCACAATCAACAAGGTCATGATCTTTTTTTTCATATATATATATATATATATATATATATATATATATATATATCTACTACCATTTTATTATAAACTGCACCGCGTCCACAAACACTGTCCCCGTCCCGTCCACTTTCACAGACGTGGCAAATGTCTGTGTAAAAAAAAAAAAACCCTCACTGTGTATAATTGCCGTCAGGGGAAACCGAAAAAAAAAAAAAAAAAAAAAAACCGAGTTGATCAACCATAAAGCACGAAGACGACTTCGGTATAAAACTGCTCCAAACCCCGGTTCCCCGTTAGCCGATAAGGTTGCTAATGTTTTCATCCGCCTTCAAATAAAACTTACCGATTATCTGACAGCTAAAAGCGGAGAAAAACACACACTAGCAACGCGGTTGTTGTGTGTCTGAGCTGCCCGTCTCAACGGTCGGTGTCACCACAGCGCCACCGTATAATGAGTCGCACTTATTTTTTTTCCCCCTAAATTATCCAACCTTACAGCGGCTACAGCGTCGGGCTAACTACGGCTACTCGCTCCGGTAAAAGTTGAACAACACGCAATAAAAAGATAAGCTAGTCCGAAAGCTCTCCGCCAAAAGCCCCGCTGTTTTGTTTTTATGTCGGCGCATCCCCGCGGCGTCGCCCCGGCTTGCCCAGTTGCAGTGTCCGATCGATGTTGAATTGAACAAAGAGGATCAATTTCTGATCAGCGAGAGAGCCACTTTCATCAATGTGAGGAAGAGGTCTTGAATTCTCTTCCGAAACACCTACGAGACGGCGGCCGGGAAAAAAACACAAAACACAGCGGCCGAAAGAGACGAGACAGCCGAAGCGAATGGAGGATAGGCGATTTAAACAGAGGTTGAACTGACCTGTAGTTGTTGTAAGTCAAAGCGCTTCCAATATTGAAACATCGATCCTGCATTGGCCGCCATCTTGAGACATATTGAGACAGGAATGAGATGCTGATAGAGAGCGCGGGGGTTGGAGTTCAGTGGAGAGGACCGGGCGGCCGCAACACCCGGACCGGATCACTCCCACCGCTCACCCCAGGTAACAGCCGGCGTACGGACCGGAGTCAGCGCGCAGGAGTGTTGCCTTAATAACGCCATTATAATTGCTTAAATAGCTTTTTATCAACATTCAGATATTACAGGTAAATAACCGAACTGGCGTTAAATTACTCTTTTATTTTTTATCACGTTTACACACACACACACGCGCGGAAATCGCCAGCGCCCGATTGAGTCCATGTTTTTAATGTTGTTTGCTTTGTGTGTGTGTGTGTAGTATGTGGTGTATGTGTGTGTGAGAGATCTTTTTTATGTATTATGGAGAGTAAAGATCACACAAAAAATATAATGCCAGGAGGCTCTACTTGGAAGCCATATCTAAAATATATAAATATATAAATAAATCCCACCAGGGGAGCATTCAGGGACTAGTGTTTAATCTGAGCTGTGTACGGGCTGAGCAAGAGGATGGTGTGGACCCACATATACTCATTTATTTAATCAATAATCATTGCTCCTCCAAAAATCAGCATGACTGTCAGATTTAGGAATAAAAAATCGATGAACCTATTGCATGTTGCCAAACTCAAGCTCCCTTTTTGAAAGTGCAAATTTACACCATTTCTGTTTAAACTGCAAACATTTAATACATGAAACGAAACTTACATTTATTTTATGATACATAGTTTGTGTTTTATAGATGTTTCTGACTGATCCAGGTGAAAGGCTTCTGTTTTGGATCATTATGGACGTTCATGAAGGACAATCCCAAAAAAATAAATCAATAAAAGGTAAATATATTTAAACCAAATATAATTAATTAGGATGTTATTTGTTGAGAATAGAATCCGGGCTAAATGTGTATGTCTGGATAGTTAAAACAAAGCATTCAGCTCTAATCAATATTAGAAATCAACCACAATAATTTTAGTTTCATAATACATGTATTTTTATTGAAAGGGTGGATCTAGTGTTCACAGTCAGCATATGCAAGGAAGCAGGACTGCTGTGGACCTGCTGAATTTGGCCATTTAAGAATGGGTAAAAGATGGAGTGGACTTACACTTGGCACAAGATAGATTCATATGATTTTCTCAATGTACAGTAATATGAACAAGAAAGTAAGTGAGATATTCTCATTCTCTTGCCATTTGTTATTCAAATAAGATGTTTTTAATCCAGTCAGATGACTACGGCAGCAGGGCAGCCCAGTGGTTAGACTGTCAATGTGCATACATATCTGTTGTTGAAGTGACCTTGAGCAACACTCCTGAAGGCATCACTCCTGCTGACCATGTCCTCTGACCCCCCTACAGCTTGTGGATATGCAAAGAAAGTGTAATTACACTGTATATATGGAGTGCCTTAAATTCCTTGTGTCAAACTGTGCACCTTAAAAACACCATCACGCCTCAGCTTCAGCCTCCAATTGCTCTGCACACCAAAGCCGGATCCGAGTTCCTCAGGTTTATCAGGGTAACACATCTGTTGTACACGTCGCATTCATTTTTAGCTTTTTGTGGGTTCCCAAATGTGACTCGTCGAGTGACTTGTGAGGCCTGGAAAATCCACGCCTGCATTCACACTTAGTGAGTTGTTATTTTTTATTTTTTTCTTGAATGCTCAGAGCCCCAGCAGCCTTTTATAAAAATATTTAGTTTTATTTTTTTTTTCTCCCCAATCATTTTCATTTCTTTACAGCCATTGCACTTTAATTGCATTCACTAAAAATAACACAAGAATTTGCCATAGATAATAACGCCTCTTTCACTGCATGTGTGTGGATACAAAGGTAGGCATTTTTGTGCTTTGAATTAGCTCAACTTTCAGGCCATTACTTGATTTGATTTGAAGCTGTTTGTGTGACCCCCTTCTACAGTATGAATGGTGCTCAGTGCTCTCTACTGATATGTAGTCTCAATAGCTTTGCCTTATTTTATACTTCATTTATAGACATAATACAGTGAATTAAAGACTGGCTTTAGTTTGGCCCTGATACCTGGTCACATGCTTTTAATAAAATGTACTGAATTACACTGTATACAACAAATAACAACCACTGGTTAAAGCATTTTACTGTGATAAAAGCAGCATGATTCAGGTCGCTATCTGTGTCAGTTACTAATTCTTTTTTAAAACATGAGCAACTGTCTGCATTATGACATACATAATTATTACTTTTTAAGACAAAAATACTGTATATGAACCGATAGATCCTGTGTTTAATCCTCTCGTTTTGTTCCCTTTCCGCCATGTTAATCAGTGTTTCCTTGGCTTGGCCTGCATGACTTGTGATGCTACCTATCATTAAGCCAAACCAGAAATACAGGTCTGAGATAATCCGTACGGGTTCAGTAGCTCTGCAGTGTGTCCGTGTGTTTGTATAGTTTTCTATTACTCTTACACAAAGAAAACACACAGCTAAAAGGATCATGATACATTTTTGTGCCAATGATATTACTATGAAACAGTCAACAATATCTTGTCAATAAGGAGAAGTGAAAGTAGCTCCGAACGGCGTCTTAATTGTATTGAGAAATGTTCTATAATTATTTAACACTGCTGACTTTTTACTTTGGATTTTAAACACAACGATTAAATGTTTTAAATAACGTAAGGTGATACTTTGTTATGTTATTTATTGTGTCAACATGCACATCCAGCAGAAATACTGTAGCAGCGGTGTTAGACATGAACAACCATATAACATTACATTGCAAACAAATAACCTTTACAGTATTTCTTCCCTCCCTAAAAGTTTTTAATACTCAGCCATTCAAAGGATGCCATGAAGGACATTTTACTGAAACAAAAAAAAGAGAAAGAAATGCAGCTCTTGAATCATCACACACTGAAAAAGAAAACATGAAATGGACTTCATCTTAGCTCTCACCTAAAACACATAACAACAGAATCATGTTTAGTCTCCAGGGAGACCTTCAAATATTTTTGGTCTCTATAACTAATGAAGGTGAATCACCTTTTTTTTTTTTTTTTTATTTCTGGTTAATTTCTGCTTCACACATGACTCTACCAATTCATTTCTGTACACAGTCCCTCCACATTTAATGCAAGAATGTATCCAGTAAATTTAGTAATATCACCTTAATGCAAACGTTGCCTTTAACATTACAAATCAGTTGATTTTGCACTGCCAGACGCTCCTCTCAGACTCTCTGAATTTCAGGACACAATATCTCCATAAGGATTTGACTGCAGCTTCATAGACTCTGGATTACTTTGAAGCAGTAGGGGGTACACAGTGTAAGTCGGAATAAGCAAGAGTCTGAGTTATCAATCCACCTACAAATTATCGTGTTCCTGCTACAGAGGCTCATGCATGCCTGGCATAAATGACATGAGAGGAGTCTTTTTTATTACACTCTATGGTAAAATTAGAGAGGATGAAATAAATTGTTCCTGACAAGGACAGCAGAAGGAACATGTTGGAGCATACACATTTTAGTCTTTAAAAATCCTCATCAGTTCATGTACATTTGGGTAAAGTTTAAATATACAGAAATAACCACACATTCTTTGTGTCAGTGCCATTATACAACTAGATCTTATACCCGACGGAGCTACAGGGTATAAAATAAAACAGCCTTTCTGTCCTTTAGCTTTCCCACTTTTCTCTGTTTGTGTCCCTTTTCCTCCTGCTCATTGACTCTGCCTGCAAGGTGCTTTTAGCGGGCCTTGTGTGGCTGGGTTGGAGATGGATGTGTGGCCCTTGGGAGCCGCAGGCAGAGAGCAACACTGATCATGTCAGACAGGCTGGGGAGGCTGCATAAGATCATCATCACCCAGCAGTGGAGTGAATCGCCGCAGTGGCACTTTCACACAACCTCTGACCTTTGTGGTAACCTCTGAGGTCATGATCAAGGTCAAGGGTCAGCGAGGGCCTCTGTGATCAGGGAGCTCGCAAGCCCCTCCTGCCCGCTTCCTCCTCTTTTTCTCTCTACGTTCTTTCCCTTCGTTCTTTTCCCCCCTTGCTCTTGTCCCTCATCTTCTATCTGTTTGTCTATCGCTCACACTCTCCTTCACCGGGCGGGACCAATTGAGACATCCCATCCCCTGGGAGTGCAAAAAGGAAAGCAAGAGAAAATCAATAGGGAAGATGAGTGAAGACCTGTGGGTCCCATCAAAAACTGAATGCTTCTCTCTGTGCTGGTATGATTCACACACACACACACACACACACACACACACACACACACACACACAAAAACACTACAGATAGACAGTGGTAATACTTTTGACAAACAGGAAGATAGTAGTAAACATGGGCTTGGAAATAGTACAAAACTAGAGACAAAGATGTGTAATGTCTACAAAATGTTGTTTTTTTAGTGCATTCCACTTACATTGTCCATATAAAGTGACCTGAGAAGCCCTTGTGTCAGTTTTTCCATCCTCCCTGCATGTACACATGCTGCAGTGATGTTTGAAAAAGAGGAAGATGCGATATTGATCCCTCCATGAAGATTTTTCAAGGTCTGCAACAGCACATGAAAGAGCTTGATGACTTTTTCGAGCAAGAGAGAAGAGTAAAAATGAAGCAAACATAAATGCCAAGCTTTGTGTATCACCCTGGTTATAATTTGAGCTGAACAAAATGTCACCATATCGGCAATCAGCGTAACTTTAATTATAGCACAATTCCAGCAACATTTGCATGGTTTTGTGCTGCCTAGAAAGGAAAACAAAAAGGATTGAACTAAACAAGAGAGAGCTGAAGGAAGACAAACAAAACCCATTCCTATGTGTCATTTCCTGACCTCAGCCACCTCTGCTATTTCTGAGGAAAGACATACATGTGTTTATAATGTTGAGCCTCACCATGTATCCATAACTTATGAGTTTGCCGTGCTTCTTCCCAACTCAAGATAACCCCGGGCAGGACATTAAATGATTGGCTGAAAATAGAACTGTTCAGATGAAAGGGAGGATAAATAATGCAGAAAGAATACAAAACCTCTTATGGGGATAACTAGTCACACACACGCACGCACGCACACAAACACACAAAGAAGATTTCTTTTTTTTTTTTTGCTCCATGGTGAAGAAAAGTGAATGGATGTAACAGGAAGGAGGAGGACCCAGTGGAGACACACATGCTTCTTGCTTCATCTCCTCCCACTCCTCCTTGTCTGCCATTTTTTTCCGCTCACATTCAGACTTCATGACATACTCTGTGTCTGTGGGGAGGAATAATGTTGTCCCAGTCACGCCGTGTTTTTCCTGCCCACCAGAGATGAGACACAACACACAGTGCAGGATTTCCAGACCCGCCACCTCATCATTTTTTCATTAGTTGTGATCAGAATGCGTTCGACCTGGATGGCTGATCCTCTTACACAGAGAGTAATGTGTCACTGTCTGACTGTGTTGTTTTTTATTCCTCTATTTGTTTAGGGTTAGATCACCAAATTAAAAAGCTGTGAGTCATTTATTAAGATTTCTGGTTAGAGGGTGTTGCAATGCTAGGTCATATCTAATAAATAAAACATTCAAGACAAACCTTTTCAAAGCCCCGCTGCTGCCTGCCTAATTTACAGCTGAAATGTTTATTCATTGGCCAAATTAAACATGCATGTTTTGAGAAAAATCCAAATATGTCTACACTGCACAGGCTGCACAGGAGACCTCACAGGGCAGCTTTCTGTTTGTGTAGGGAGACACCTAGTGGTGAATAACACGTGTAGCGTTTGTAGAGGGATAAATGGGAGATTGAGGCTGCTCTATTCTGGTTTATTAACTTGATATGTATAAAAATATTTTTTTAGTCAATCCATAAAATCTAAGTAACTATTTGCTGATTAATTTAGAGTGAGTTTAGTGGCCGTAAAAACTCCAAAATTAGGCTCCAGTAATGCCACTTCTCCAAACACCAACCCCTCTGATTTGACCCTCTGGCCTCCATCCTGTGTGAATATGCCTTTATACAAACAGAGTAAGCTAAATGAAAAATATGTCTTGTTCTTTTAAAAAATGACCTCTGCTTATTCCATCAGCAGGACACCGCGCCCAGGGCCAAAGTGTTTACTCAACCTAAAAGAGCCTGGGAGGCCAGCAGGCCTCACAAAAGCGCCTTTCACCGGTAACAGGACCCTGGACCAACGCTGCCACGTCAAATTTTTTGGAGCATACAGCACTGCTGCAAATGTGTTTATTTTTACTCTGTTTGGACCAAGACGACAGGGTGACATAAGCTGACACTACTGAAGAACATGTAGGACAGGCGACAACAATGGCAAATTTGGTAGACCATTGCAGGCTCCATTGTTTAACCCGACGCATTCCTTATCTCTCCTGACTGTTAAAGTAGGGCATTAAGGTGTGCCAGCCGGCTGCAGGGACGGAGGGACGGAGGGACTACTTTTCCTGAAAAAAAGTTTTAATACAAGTGCAGTGGACAAAAAAAGGAACAAAACTGATCATACGAGGTTTTAACTGGGGGGGAACTGCAGGGTGAAGGGTGTCGATGGGAGTTGTGGCTCACTGGAGAGCAACGGGCCGCTCCACGATAACGGCGCACAGAGCAAACAGGCGCTCAGGTTCGTCCCAGCGGGAAAGATGTTGTGCACTTGTTCGCAAAAGGACCTGTTCCTCTGTGTGCGCGGCCACCGTCGGTTTCTTGTTGTTCCTGGGAGTCTGCCTACTCCACCTACCGGACCCGCTCACGCTGGAACCGGTCGTCTCTGAGGAGAACCGCGCGGTGACGCTCCTGATATGGACCTATCCTTTCGGTCGGTACCGCAAAATTCCGGACTGCTTTGCGCTCTATCAGATCGGCGGGTGCACGCTCACCGACGACTGGCGCGCGTACCCGGAGGCGGACGCCGTGATCATCCACCACCGGGAGGTTGCCACCGGCAGCGCCGATCTACCACCGGAACCGCGGCCACGTGCGCAAAAGTGGATATGGTTGAACTACGAGTCCCCCTCTCACACGTCCAGTCTGTGGCGTTTTGAGGATGTTTTCAACCTCACAATGACCTACCGGACAGACTCAGATATATTCCTGCCGTACGGGTATCTGGTCCCCAATGAACACAGAACCAGGGGTCTCCAGAACCGCTTTGCGCACCCGCTCCACACACCCCCGCGCTCACACCGCCCCCGACCCCGCCTCCTGGCCTGGGTCATCAGCAACTGGTCGGAGTCTCATGCGCGCGTGGCCTTCTACCACCAGCTCCGCCGGTACATCCAGGTGGATGTGTTCGGGCGCGCCGGCCGGCCGTTACCGGAGGACAGCGGCGGCGGCAGTGTGGTGCGGCTGCTCGGACGTTACCAGTTCTACCTGGCGCTGGAGAACTCGCAGCACACCGACTACATCACGGAAAAACTGTGGAACGCAGTGCGGGCCGGTGCCGTCCCGGTGGTCCTGGGTCCGTCCAGGCAGAACTATGAGCGCTTCCTGCCTCCAGAGGCCTTCATCCACGTGGACGACTTCCCCACAGCGCGGGAGCTGGCCCGGTACCTGCTGATGCTGAGGCGCAACCCGGCCCGGCTGAGGCGGCACCTGGACTGGAGAGGGAGCTACAGCGTGCACCAGCCCACCTTCTGGGCTGAACACTACTGCACGGCCTGCAGGGCGGTGAGGAGGACCAGAGGCAGGACTGATGTGGTCAGAGACTTGAGACGCTGGTTTCACTCGTGAAAAAACACCTGAAGCAGCAGAACTGAACTGATGATAAAGCTGAAAGATAATGTGTAACCAGACTCACTGCCCACCTGATGACCTTTCAAAGTTTACAACAGAAATCTATTTATAATCGACCATGATTGTTTAATTTATACGACTTTAATTCGACTAGGTGATAACTGAGAATGATGATTTTTGATTCATTGAGTAAAGTTATTTTTCCTATGAACTCTTCTCTCATTGTCATCATTTGATGGTGTTTTGGTGATGGTGATCTGTCATATTACAAATTATACTTTATATTTTATGTTGAGTCAAGTCATGTTGGTTTTATTTGTACTGTACAGCTTAAGGAAGGTTTAACACTCCATACAACATTAAAAGCACAGTATTGTTATTTCTCTTTTACATTGTTGGGTGTGTTTTAAGGCAACCACTGATTGCATTACACTAAGAAATTCAGCTTGCAGAGACAAGACCTGCTTCAGATGATTGCTCCCAGTAAACGGCTAGTATTTATTGTTGTCAACCTCCCCCCATTTCAACTTAAGCATCATGCAAAATTATGGTGCTACAAAACAACTTACTGACAAATGATGGTGATGAATATGGTAAAATGTTAACTGCGGTACAAGTTTCAGATCTCTGCAAGGTGACTTTTGCACAGTACTGAAATGGAAATCAAGGGCAGTTAATTAATGTATTTAGAGTGAGTGTGTGTGTGTGTGTGTGTGTGTTTGATTCAGGGAGGAAATATAGACACCATCCCCAGAAAGTACATCAACATCTGCCTGCATATGTCTCTTACGTGCGTACCTGAGGGGTTAACACTAAATCATGTTAATCATAGCATCCCTGGATCTGATCTACTATTATTTTAATGCCATACATGGCTGATGCTCGTGTCATAGCAAGTCACAGATCCCTAAAATAGGACTCCGACCCCTTGATTTGTGTCTGCACATCATTAACGGGTTGATTACAACCCTGTTTGCACTCAGAGGCCTCGCTGAATGACCTTAAAGGTGTCGTTAGACCCCAAAGCTCTTCTCTGACACATCTTGTTAGAGAGTGAGACAACTGTACAAACACTCATAGTGTTCATTAAGTCCACACAGCTATGCCCATTTTGCTGATGTTTTTATCCCTTTATATATTGTATGGCTTAGAAAAATAGGCGGAAAGGAGGTGGTTAACATGTGTGCCTGTGTTTTTTTTTACAAAAAGCTTCAGGAGTCACTTGATAGGAATCAGAAGCTGTGATGTGGATCATTTAAATTTACACCTCTGTGTTAGTGCCCTGACACAGAATTAACGCTTTGTGCTGTCAAATGAGACATTTCCTGCAGGCAGAGGGGCAGCGAGTAATGTTGCTCCCCGTAATGAGCTGATGCCTCAGCAGCTGTTGAAACCACTGACGTCTATCAGCAATAATGCTTTCAGACGGCCAGAACAGCCAGACCCCTCATCCCTGCCATAATCCCATTCACGTACACGAGGGAGTAAAATGATATTCACTCTTTATGCTTTCAAATATAGATTGTGTCCTGAAGCTTGTTTCCGTATTGTGTCTGTATTCAAAGTATCCCCCAAATGGCATGTGGGAAGCATGTGGAGCATGCTGGACAGTTGGCCTATAGTATATAAAGGGAAGGGCACTCCACTTATTGCTTCTTAAGAGCTCATCGGATCTGCAATAAAGATCCACACAATGGTAAGAGGCTGTGCAGGATATCTAGTATGTTTATTGTGCTCATCATGTATTTATAGCCATTTTAATGCAGTTGTAGTTTCACAGAATAATGCACACTGAATATTTTCTGATTAGGAATGATATCTTCAAGAGGAAAAGGTTAAATACAACAGAAATATAATTAGCTACAGGACTGTAAATTAAAAAAGGCAGCCATCCCCTACTTCTTGATGCTAAGAAGGCACATTTTTTGGTGTTTCTGCTGACTGAAGCTGGTTCTCACCTCAGTTGGTTTGACTCAAGGGAACCACCATGGACCTCCTCTCTTATCCAGCGTGTCTGTTCTGTTACAGGCGCCCACAAAAGACGAGAAGAAGGAGAGAGAGTAGGCTCCAACATCGTTGCTATGTTTGAGCAAAACCAGATCCAGGAGTTCAAAGAGGTTAGAGGACAGATGCTGTGTGTGCAGTACATGTAGGACTCAATCTCTAAGCTCTGTCCCTCCTGCTATGTGGAGCTGCACTGCCTCCTCTGGTAACCTGTGTAACTGTCCTCTGCTGGCAGAGATGGTATCATTGATAAGAGCGACATAAGGGACACCTTTGCTGCTCTGGGTAAGTATTTATTAGCTGTTGTTGGGCACATATTTGTCAGTTGTATGTTTCTTTATCTCACATTTACTTGTTATCTATTTATATTATCATTGTCATCCTATAAATACTATAATTTCACTGATGCAATTTTCCTGTATTGATCACAGACGTTAAGAAGTTTGATGGGTTTGATGGCAGGTCGTCTTAATGATCTCGACGAGATGACGAAGGAGTGTTCAGGATCCCTCAACTTCACTTTATTCCTAAATATGTTTGGAGAAAAACTCAAAGGTCAGTCACCAAGGTCGTAACAAGTTGTGCAGTTCTTAGTCTTTCTTTCCTAATTTGGAGTTTCAGTGTTAAGTTTTTCTTTTACTTCACAGAATTTGATTTCAGTTTTTTAGAAAAACAAGGTAAAATGTACACTAAAATAGATAATATAATCAAAGTGTCTAATGATGGCTTTTACTACTTATTTTCTCCCATACTACACTTGGCTCTGACTGGGATCCCTAATGTAAAATTAATATTTAAATATTACTTTTTAGTTCGATTCGTGTTGTTGGTTTAAGTGAAGTTCATCATTTATTCATGCTTAGTTTCAGTCAAGGCTTTACGTTTTAAGTTGCTTTAATTGTCTCCTAAAGTAAAAACTTGTCTTTAATTGTAGGAGTTGCTGCATAAAAACAAACATGTCACAAAAGACATTTCAACAGCAGTCTTCACTTTCTGTTGTCCGCATCCAAATATTAAATTTGAGCCCCCACCCCCCCTAAAAAAACCCCAGTAAGGACAAATAAAGTATTATGTGAGGCTGAGTCAGTGTAGTGTTCATCGTGTCAACGCAGATGAGCAGTTGTTACTCGCAGCTTTACCTGTGTTTTGTCAGGAAACTGACCCAGAGGAGACGAGTCTCAACGCCTTTAAAGGTCTTTGACCCAGAAGGAACAGGAGTCCTCATGGAGGAGGACTGAGCGTGTGATTCTCTCCTCAGTTCTGCACAGACACGGCTGAAATGACTCTGTGGCTTGTGATGCCTCTCACAGGAATTCATCCCTCAGATAACTATGAATTAGCTTGTAGAGCACAAAAAAACGTGAATAATTAACAAAGTCCCAGCATGCAGATAATGCATATCTTGTTCGGTGAAATACAGATCACAGGTAATTCAAAGTCAAAGAGACAGTAATTCTTCTCTCTCATTCCTCTCCTGCAGGATAAAATATCAGCTCATGTCACAGGCTGACAAGTTTACAGAGGATGAGGTGAGTTGTTGCTTGGCAACAAGGTGAAATATTGGATGTATCAATATGAGATATGTGATTCGAAGGTACGGGCAGTGGCGATATCGCTGAACAAGTTGAAGGTGAGCGCTGATGAATACCCAGAATCTGAAGCAATTTAATTTGATTTAAACCCCTTAACTACCAGCTACAGCTTATTACAAAGATCCTTCTCAGCTCTCTTCCAGACCCCCTCTTCAGTAACAGTGCCATTCATAACCTACATGGCCCCTGGCTAGAGACACAGTAATCTCATTTGTACAGCAACAGATGTTTCTCTTAAAAACATCCGTTGACTGGGGAGTGAAAAGTCTGCCTCTCATTCTCTCAGGGGATCAAAGAGACCAGTCTAATCGCTATGAAATCTGTCACATTTGCACTGGTTTGAGGAGACATATTGACTTACAGTAGGCTTACAATGTTGTGAAACGTAAACGCTCTACTTCTCCGTCCCCTCTCGCTCAGCCTACACATGTTTTATGAGGAAGCTTTCATGTTCTTTACATCAAAAGGCCGCGCAGAGGGGAGGGGAGAAGAGAGGGGGGAAAATGCATATGAAACAACAAAACCCCTTGACAAATAAACAGCACAGTGTTCCCATGGCAGCGCGGTGCAGTAATCTGACGGCTGGTTTCCCATGGCTGTGTCTCACTGCCCCATAGACCTCCACTCTGTCTCACTGATGGCTCCTGTGATTGCAATCATCCATCTTACTGTCAAAGGAGAAAAAAAAAGGGCAAGAAAGGGGAAATCACACACACCATCTCTCTCTCGCTCCCTTGTGTCCAGCAAACAAGCCACCCCACTGTGAGCAGAGCCAACACATGGACCACAGGCCCTCTGCATTGTGTTTATGTGTATGAGTGTGTGTGTGTGTACCCATGCTTATATGATCTACAGAGAGAACACGTGTGGGTGTGCATCTTTGGTTGTCTGTGCCTACCCATTATACTGCATGATCAGTCACTGGAGTGTACACGGGGGAGCTGTGGACATGTCTGATCTTGCAGCTGATCAAAAGCACCAGAGACTTGTTCCCTTGTGGCCGATGCAAGCGGGCCTCATATCAACATGTCTCTGTTCAGTAGACAGGAAAAACAAGAGGAGAGAAACAGGCAGCGGAGGAGGAGGAGGAGGAGGAGGAGGAGGAGGAGGGGGGTGGGTGGTTACATCAGGAGGAAACAGGCAGGCAAAGCATAGATGAAAGAGTGCACAAAGAGGCCAGAGTGGAATATATGACAATGATACATAACTGCACTTATCTCCCCGTTCTGATGAGCTAATTGAATGGCAAAAGCCAGCTCTGTGTCTGTCTGTAGATGTAATGTGTGATCCAGCTCTGCAAACCTGACAGCTCTCCTCGTAAGTAAAGAAAAGTGCAATAAACCCTTCACCTATTTGCTTACAGGTAAACCAGATGTTTACAAACTTCCCTCTTGATGTCACTGGTAACCTTGACTACAAGAACTTGTGTTGTGTGATCACCCACGGAGAGGACAAAGAGCAGGCGTAAAAAGGAGGAGAAGAAACAGATGGATGAAAAGAAGAGATATAAGGAGGAGCAGCAGCGGCGAAGCTACTGCCTGTAAATAGTCTCGCCACGCTGTGAATTTGTGTACAGCGTGTGTAAATGCAATTATGTGCAATAAAGTGGTGACTCCATGAAATGAATCCCTTTGTTGTTGTGACTTTAATCTCACTTCAATAAAGGAACACAGGTGAGCATAATGTCTTGCAAATTAAACAACAAAGCACACCTGGACATTGTGTAGTATAAAAGATAATGAAACATGCACAAGACACAACAAAACAGCTGTATTTAAAAGATAGGCCTGCCTGGGAAGATGTAACCTTCTGTAACATAAGATAAGTGATCAGAGGCTGAACACCAGATACCGGCAGGTTCATCTCTCTTCTGCTGCTAATGATTAAAGGAATAGTTTGACATTTTGGGAAACACGCTTATTTGGTTTTTCTTTCTGAGAGTTAGGTGAGAAGAAGGATGCCGCTCGAATGGTAAAAAAAAGTAAAGCTAGTTAGCTTAGCTTAGCACAAACACTGGAAACAGGCAGAAACAGCTAGCATGGCGCTGTCTGAAGCTAACGATGCTCCCTTGTTAAACCAGATAACTATTTTAAATTAGGTTATTTTCCAAATACACACTGACAGTGAAGTTCTCCTTTTAAAACCTGCATGTTGTGTTTCTGTTACCTTAGAATGAGTCGTTTTTATCTACAGATGTCACAGGTCCACCATGTTGAACAGCCATGTTTCTACAGTAGCCCTGAAAGGACAAACCAAACACTGGCTCTAGATAGGTCTGTTTTTTGTGTGTTTTGTGGCCACTGTGGTTTCTCCTTCACGCTTGGAAGCCAGGATGAATCGACAGAATTACAATCCACAACTACACTGCTAGATGCCACTAAATCCGACACACTGGACCTTTAAATGACACGGTGTAATGGTGTACTGGTTTACTAGGATTGGATTTTATTCAGATGTAACTGTCAGCATTGGTGATTTTCCAAAGGTTTGACATTTCTGTAGTTTTTTTCAACAGGTGGGAAAAGTTGCTGTCAGAAATTCCCCAAAATCAGAGGCTATATGACATATTTTTTTCTACTTCACTGCTCATAATGTCAGTCTGAACACTATAACATAAGCTCAGCATTGTTGTCACCATGAGGTTGCAAGTGCTGGTAATAGGATTTTTGTTTGAGCAAGGCCAGCTGTTTCCACTTGTTTTCAGTCTTTACATAAAAGCGCTATCAATATTCTCATCTACCTCGGCAAAAGAGCGATAATAAGAGCGATCATTTTGAGATAAGCTTATATTCCACAATGCTAAACTACTCCTTTTACATATGAATCTACCAGACATGGTCAAAGCTTTATTCAGAGACCAGCAGGCTTGATCTCTCAGAGACTCATTAGGCCTAAACAATAATGATATCAGTTTGGAAACAAATCTCAGAGGCAGTTTGTGAAGAAGTCAACGTAGTCCGGTCCCATTTAGTGCTCCATCAGACAGTCGCGTGAAGGTGCACTGGAGCCGAGCAGGGTGCAGGGTCTCCTGGCCAAAACTAAACTGTTTCAGTATCTCTTCCGTTTGCTTTCCAGATGTGCACTCTCCAGATGCTATTCATTTCACCTAACTTTATTTTAAGCAGATTTTCTTGGCAGCCTGTCATGTCTTACCTCAGTTTTAACAACACTGAGCAACCAGAGAAAGACAGAAAGAAGAGAAAGGATATATGTTTGACAGGCTAACACGAGATGAACCTCGAGGTCGTTCCAAAAATGTGTTTGACACTAAATAGTATATTTTGGGTGCAGCTCTCGGGAACTCACATTGCAGCCTGCGGAGCTTTGCAACATCAGCCAAGGAGACTGATGTGTTTACTAGGCAGTCTTTTATCTGAGGAAAGAAAGATGCCAAAACCTTCATAACACTTTATGAGATTATATTTCATTGTACAACACTGTACAAGTGCTGCTGCAGGTTATGTAGGATTGTACAGCAACAGGGTCAAAAAGGCTAAAAAAAAAGCCTTTCATGTGGACGAAATGCTCAACATTTCATGTCTGCAAAGAGCTTGGTTTTTACAGCTGCACTCATTTGTGACAAAAAAGTGACAATAATAGGTGACAATAATTGTAATAATAAAAGGTACGAGAAACATGATTTACATCATCAAATCTGCCACATCCATCAAAATTATACACATACATACAAATTTAGACTATACTCTTAAAGGGGAGCTCGTCTGTGTCTCTCCTCCAGCACCGGAGGGCTTTGAACAGGCTGAAGGCGCTTGATCTTTATGGCAGGGAAAGTCAGGGGGTCCGAAATGCTGCCAAATCCAGATCCTTCAGAGTTGTCTGCGTAAAGACATGAAAGACAGAAAAACAATCATCCGAATGAACTACTGTTCTTCAAATACTGCTTTAAAAGAATTGTTTGACATTTTGGAAAAATATGCTCACTCTCTGGAGCAGAGTTAGAGGAGAAGATGGATACCACTCTCACGCCATTAAATATGAAGTTGGAGCCAGCAGACTGGAAACAGCTCACCTGGCTCGAAGGTAACAAAATCCTCCTACCAGCACAACTAGAGCTCACTAATTAACACATTAACGCATGTACAATCTGTATAAACACAGAAGAGTAAAAACAACATTTATGTGCCGGAATATTTATTGGCAGGGAGCAGTAAGCTCCTGGTTGCCTGGTAACTGCTCAGAGCCAAGAAACAGTCCAGCACAAAAAAACCCATAAAATGCCAAATGTGTTTGTACATTTTTTTTTTTTTTTACAGATTAAAGAAATGAGATATAGCATGTAGAGCGCTGACGGATGGATTCTGTTACCTTTTACCTATTTTAAAAAAATCTATTTTAGCTGTTTCCCCCGGTTCCAGTGCTAAGCTAAGCTAACTGTTGCTATATATAACAGACAAACTTGAGAGTGGTGTCAATCTTCCCATCTAATGCTCTGCCAGAGAGCAATTAAGCACATTTCCCCAAAATGTCAAACTTTTTCTTTTAACATAATGATTCTGAGGCATGGAATTTTTTTTTTCCCACACCACTGTTCTTGTTTTTCTCCTCACCGTGAACGCCAATCATGTGCTCCAGGATCAGGACCCTCTCTGCCAGGATCTTCAGGGCCTCCCTGAGCTGCTGCACAGCCTCGCCCTGAATAACACCATCATGTTCCTTTAAGACAATTTTTCAAATGAGCTCAGAAGGAATAGATATTAACGTCTTACCTCATTCAAGCCTTCTCCTGGCTCTCCTTTTGGCCCTGGTGCTCCCTGTCAAAACACAGTAAAATAATCTTGTAATCTGTGTTGTGTGTGTGTGTTTTATGCAGCACCATAACCTCATACTTACGGGTAGGCCCTGCTCGCCTGTTATACCTGGAAACCCCTGGTAGAGACAGAACAGAGAGGAATAATTTAGGACTCCTGCTCACACAAACGTTTCTCCGGCTTGCATTCTTTATCCTCCGTGCTAATCTGCCTCTTCACCAGATCTCCAATCTTAAATCATGCTAGTAGAGGAAGGGGATCAGGTTTAAAGACAGAGGCCCACTAGAGAGCCGGATAAAAGAGGGGACCCGACAGTGCTGCCCTGATTAGTGAGATCTGGCCTTGGACGAAGGAGAGAGAGAGAGAGAGAGAGAAAGAGAGAGAGAGAGAAGAGGATTAGTCATGGCCTGGAGTGTGTCTTTGAAGAAAAGCTTGTTCACCTTTAATGTGTTTAAGATTGCATGACAGCTAGGACCATTTACAAACTGTAGAACAAAAAGCATTTTGATAGTTCATCACATTCAAATACGTTCAGCCAGCTTGTTAATCCAATAATGAGGATGGTTTTTAAAGCAGCCTCACCCTCTCCCCTGGATCTCCTTTAGGCCCAGGATCCCCAGGCTTGCCTTGGAGGCCTTCCTTGCCCTTAAGTCAGCAAAACAGAAGGGCACGCATTAATGACACTAGTCATTAATTCATATTTTTATTGATCGACCGATACAGATACTCACATCTTGTCCCGGCAGGCCTGGTATTCCTGCAGATCCTCTCAGTCCTGGAGGGCCTGTAGTGTCATTCATAAAAAATACAAAAATCGCTCATAAGAGGAATGGATGTCATAGTGTTTAAGTGTGGATTTGACTATTGTGCAATGTCAAAATTAAATTCAGTCAATTTAACACAGTTTGATTTAATTCAGATATTACATTGTCCGGTGAGAGAGATTTGTCAGGGTTTGCAAAATAAACACGATTAACCAGTTGAACATCTGTGTTTTCAATGTTTTGCTTAAAATTTCCCTTAAATTTGTGTTTTATTGAATAAGGCTCATATAGTAAAATGTTCAAATTCAAAACATCACTTCTTTGTTGCTACACAATTACATCAAACAGCTAATATTCATACCTGAGGGGCCGATGGGACCAGTTGGACCAGTTGGACCAGGAGGCCCGATTACAATCTGAGGAGCTGGGAGAGCTTCACGGACCGGGGTCTCCTCTGGGAAAAATAAAGACAGAAGTTTCAATGGACAGTTTAGTTTAACCTTTGCATAAAAGATAATCGAGACTTTAATGAATTAAAAAGAGGTACCCAAAATACTTTCACTAAAGTCTTTTAACTTTTCTTTGGGAGTCAACAGGCACAAACATTAAATTATATTCTATTTCCTGGTGTAAATGACTTACAATTAAACTAGATTTTTATTCATGCATTCATTGACCATCACTGTTCACAGTAACTGAAGTGACTATTGTTACCGAAGCTCAAACAGTGAATATTTGTGCTCTGCTCTGTGCTCTCCAACAAATGTTGGAGAAAGTTTTATTTAGAAGTTCTTTACAAAATAAACATCCCAAAAGAAAAAATTTCAGTTTACAAAATGTTAATGGTGTATATTTGTCTTTCTTTTGGCACTGCTGAAACAAGCAAAAACAATTCTCTGATAAACTCCCCTCCGTCTCACACATACACCAATGCATGAACTGCTCTAAATACAGACTTAAAAGCACCAACAAGAAGAAAAAGGACACAGTAGGACTTGATAGCTCAGGTCACACTCAAAAGGTGGCCACGGATGCATGTGACCATGTAGTGTAGTGTGAAAGCACCCATTCAAGTCTTGCACAGAGCTCCTAAACCTATAAGAAATTGCTATATGTGGTCACTCATGATTCATTTGAAAAACCTGAATCTGAAGACACTACAACTGCCTATGCTGCAGTTACAGACGTCTGTTTGGATTAACAATATACGGTTCAAAAAGCTGTTTGCTGTATCCATCCAAATGCCTTTGTCAGTGGTGTAGTGCGGGGTATACACAGAGTAAACCTACTTCTAAATCCCCTCTGATGCACATCATTCAGAAGTGTTCAGCACGACATAGTAAGACATAAGAAATCTTCTGCTCTTCGGTGGCTAATATTAATTTCATAATGGTGGTTACTCCCTGAAGTCAAGCCGCAGAAGTTAAGGGACAACGTGCAGATACTACTGGCCCATTTTTGGGTGAACTAAATATGAAAAAGTAGTCTTACATGTCACTTTTTATAACACAGGACATCCCTTGCTCCCATATCCCTTGCTGGATGGGCCTCTTAAAAACAAGGTCATAAATTAAGAGTATACCCTCTTCTTCATGCACCTCTACACCACTAACCTATGTATACCATTGTGGTTTCAAACAGTGTAAACCTCAGGGGTTAGGATCCCTTTTTCAACCTGACAGACGAGTTAAGACATCAAGGGTCAGCAGTCAGGCTACAGAGTTTCATCAGCAGTCAACAGTAGGATTAAGTCCAGTGTGATCGACATGAACAGCTGGTCGATCTAAAAGAGGTCCCATTTAATGGAGCAGTAAATGCTTGCACATGATCTCTCTTCGTAGAAAACATTCAGGAGGTGGAAGTGGTGCCTTGTTCTCAGCGTGTAGCTTATTTCATAGTATGCTTGTAAGTATAAATTTTGTTTGCAACCACACTTCCACTTCCTCTGCACTTTAACATATGCTCAGAATCAGTCTTCCCCCGTGTTGGGACAACGCTGTTACATTATGGCTACAGTCCACAGAAAGGGTCTAGAAGGAGCAGATTTCCCTCTGGAACTAATTTTCTAATGTTACAGTCTCCTCGAGCCTGGCTGCCTCCCCAAGAAACTCCACATGAGTGGCAGACTATCTCCCTCCCTCGCTCACAGCTAGCCCAGATTTTGGCTCTGGGCCGTGGCCTGTTCCCCCAAACGCAGACTGTTGTGCTGACAGCTAACAAATTAGGCCTGATTTACAGCCAGTTGGCCCCCCTCAGCTTACATGGTCCCACAGACCCAAATCTACATAGTTCCAGACCCGCAGACACAGTCCCGGGCTCAGAAAGGCAGACGCAGCCAAAAGCCTAATCGGAGCCAGCAGTCCTCATGAGGTAATGATTATAGCATGGACTTCTAGTGCCTCCCTGTGGTGAAACATTGGTTTTAAATGTGAGAGATCCGACTTTTGCACAGGGGCCTTTTCATCTATCTTGTGTTTTTTTTTCAAAAGATTTTAAAGTTTCAAACATCCAGCAAAACATAATTTCCATGTTTAACACGTTTAACACATTTGATGGCACAATCTTTGTGGGGAGAAGACAAAGAAATGAAGCTGCATAAAAATGGATAAGAAAGATAAAAATTGAGTCAGTCTTTTTAAAACCACCTGAGGTATTTTGGTGATTTATATGCGGGTGTTTGGCTCAATTGTTGGTGGTGGTGCTAAAAGAGGTTGCAGTAAACAGTGGCTCAGCAGCAGCAAAACACACGGAAACAATTAAACTAAATCTAAGCCAGCCCTTCGCTGCAAAGAAACAATACTCTCTCCACTACAAATGTAAATCCTCCACTAAAAGCTAAAGACACATATTTGCTCACTTAAACACTTGGTAACAGCTGCAGTCTCTGTGCTTCCACCTGTGCCCCCTTTGTAAACCATCTCCATACATAGAAATCTGTCCGGTGTTCATTTTCTGCCTGACAAAATGAAAAGGAACAACATGAGATATGAGAGTGCTTAAAACTGGTATGGCACATGACTCATTGTAGGATCAACTGTGAAAATAGACCTCTGGTTTTGGCATTAATTCAGACCATCCAAAAACTGAACGCTTGAATGGTTTTACAATTGTTCAACCGTGTGTGTGTGAGATCTGCTTCTATTAGGTTCTCATTTGAGGCCATCTGGGACAATTTAGGCCTAATAACTGAAAAAGAGTGAATTTTAAAAGGTGGAATCGTTCACTCACCTTGATTGTACACATGAAAAACGTCACCCCGCTCTCGGACAGGAGAGAAGCTCAGCCCTGGAGGACCTGGTGGACCAGGAAGGCCGGGGAGACCTGTTTCTCCTGGCAGACCTCTGTCCCCCTTTGGTCCTGAGCACAAAAATGAATCAGTCAGATTAAACAAGCATTCTGTCAATTTTGAGAGTTTTTTCCACTAATCCTCACAATTGTCCTCAAACCATCTTTAAATCACTGGAAAGGTCTTGTCATCATATTTTACCGACGGGTCCAAGCAGGCCTGCTCTTCCAGCCGGACCCGCAGGTCCAGCTGCTCCCGGAAGCCCTGGTGGTCCGATGGGTCCTGGAGGCCCTCTTCCTCCTGATACTTCGAAGAAAAAAAGAGATCAGTTTACTTGTCAAGAGGACCTGAGGACAGTTGTGTAATGTCCTCTACGGCTCTGGAGCTTCCAACAGTTGTCATCAGGGATATTTCAGCAGAGCGTACACTGTACGATTGCTGTGTAGTGTACAAGGGGGAGCGAGGGGGAGCGAGGGCGAGGGTCGTACGGAAGGAGTTGGAAACTTTTCTACAGCCGCATAGTCTATGCCCAGCTTTAGGCGTAACAAGACAAACCGGAGGTATGGCGTTTGAAAGAAGTGGATATTTGGAACAAAGGGACCACCCCAAACCTTTATAAAAGACACTATTGATTTGCATTATGGGAAATGTAGGATCCAGCGTTTTTGTAGCTTGTAGCTGCCTCTGTGGCTTCAATTTATACCTTTGTTTTGGTTGTTGTTTTAAATGTATCTCTCACAAGTCCCCCTACTTTATGGAAGTGCAATACTAAATGCCTAGAGTACCCCTTTAACCTCCCTGCTGCATTTCAGCGTCTCACCAAAATACTGAAGATGGTGAAATAAATAAGTGAAAAATCCACATAATTTCCAAACATCCAACAAACATGAGCAGCATAATCCAATAATCTATCATCCATCTAATCTGTGTTCTACCTGAAGCCAAATGGACAAACAGTGGGATTAAAAGTAGAATATTTGTTTTATAATGTTGTGTTAACCCTCTCTGGAACAAGCATGATGAGCCAAATAAAGCCAGTGAAGATGTAAATGTTGGACTTGGTTGTTTAATAAACGTTTTTCCAACAAACGACATTGGAGTTTTGACCTAAATAACATTGAACTATTCCTTTAATCATCTCTGATTGAAACTGTGCATTTAATTTAAATAGACATTAAGATATCATCAAAATGCTACGTGCATTTCAGAAATAATTTTTTCGTGTTGGCACCTGGTGGCAGGTATGACGGTGGGGCAATAGGAGTGGGTTGGGGTGCGTCCACCTCGTTGTCTGTTGAGCCCTCTGGTAAACTGCTGGCAGTTGGCAGGGATGATCGACCCTCTTCTAACAGCTTGATCTGGAACAAACGCAGTAGATTTCAGACAAATCTGCACTCTGGTAAAGTCATCTTGTACAAATGCTTACAAACTCATGCCTTCAAAACAAGACAGGCTAGTAAGGATGGATCAGAGGGATTGTCTTTACCTTTGATTCAATGGCATTTATTCTGCTGTTCATGTCAGTGAAACTGGTACAGTTCAAACACTCTGTAAGAAAGAAGAGACAGACAAGGATGAGTTTAGTTCCCACATTACAGCAGGCACACATGCTGCTTCTCCTCCATCTGTCTTTTCCTTTCTCTCAGTCTCTGCCTCGTCTCTTTCATCCGTGTTTCTTTTTTCATCCTGGCACCATCAGTAGTAACCTCCTATCTCACGCTGAGCAGGTCAATCCAAAATACACAAGAACAATGTCCATCAAACCAGACCGAAGAATTTATTAGGAATTCCTCCTTAAATCATGTCACTCACTCACAGAATAAATATTATTAGACCTCTCATAAAATGCTCTCTCTTGCTGACACGCTCTGTCTCTCTGTCTTACACACACACACACACACACACACACACACACACACACACACACACACACACACACACACACACACACACACACACACAAGCCTGGCGCACACCTGCTTGTCTACTGGCTCTGCATGTTTTCTGTCTGTCTGCCCACTCACAGGGATGGCCTGTATGCCCGCACTCACATCCTCCTCCAGATACCAAAACCATTAACTGTGTGTATCACATGGTAACGCAAACAAACACACATTTACACACACACACACACACACACACACACACACACACACACACACACACACAACACACACACACACACACACACACACACACACACACACACACACACACACACACACACACACACACTTTCACTGCCATTTCCAAATGAAAAATGTGACTTCACAATAGACACAATATATTCCGTTTAATTTACCCAACGAAAGATGTAACAAAAACAAATAATTGATACAACTAAACAGTTGTGTAGCCAAAGCTTAATATATCAAATTCCTCTGTGCCACATTGTTTTAAAAGTACAAAAACACGGTCAATGAGCGAACATGGTGGAGCCAGACCGTTTTAATAGGGGCGGCCAGGATGAGGCCAGTACTAATGCATTGTTGGTTTTGGTCTTTTTATAGCATTTGTTTACAATAACCAAAATACTGAATAATGCCAGACTTATCCTTTAACAAACAGTGTTAACACTTGGGCGGAAAAGGGCATATTTTGCTTATTTCTTTCTGGTTTCTTGTATTCATTTTTGATTTTACAGCAAAATATTTATGTTCATGTGCCTTATTGAAATTCTTGTTTGCCAGTTATGTTATCTTCAGTCTGTTTTGAACACTCGCCATCTCTGGCACAAATTATACCATTCTAGCTACCACTAAACCGCAAATACCTATACATTCCCTGCTGTGCTGCAATTTTGGATGCTTTACAGGCGCTGTAATCCAAAATCCAGAACACAGCATAGCACAGTTTCATAGAAAACCCCAGTATTTGTTCTAAATCTGAGCCGTCCTCTGGTCTACGGCTCATAAGAAGTCTGGAATGTCAGCTGTCAGTCCCACAGACGGGACCCACCCACATTGTGGTCATAGCAGGGATATGTAGAACGAGGAACAACTGGAGCTCATAAATAACGCGACAACAAAAATGACCCAAACGGCTCTGGTTTGCCTAAATCATCGTCTCTGACCACAGCACACAGGGCACTGATGGCAGCAGCTGAGGTTTTTGCTTCACTGAAATAGGACAGGGTGAATGTCTGTACCATGTCTGTGTGTCTGAGTCTACAGCCGTGTACATCCAGTCCAGTGGTGTATCGGACTGCGTGGGTGTGGTTTCTCAATGCCTCATTTCAACATCTCCAATCTGGCTCTGGAGCGCAGCCACAAACGGAAACAACAATCAACAGCTCAACCCAAAACACATTCCTCAGAATTCATCAACCCAAATACTGAGAGCTGTTCAACCGCGAGGCCAATATGACCCCACATGAGCAGACTGTTTTGACTGACTGCACTGAGGTTCCTCAGTGACTACACCAAGGACATCAAAGCCACACGCAGCACAACAGCAAGACTGTGGGCAATCATGGGCTCCACAATGTGAGAGGGCCGATGAGATACGCCTTTATCTCCTCCACAGTTATTCATCACCAGCCCAGAGGAAGTCTCCATCCTCTGAGACTCTTTCTTATATACAGTACATCAATCTGTGATGCATTCCAAGAGTTATTTTATGATGATGTTGTGACATTTAGTTTTTAGCTACGCTCGCGGTGTGGCTTTGGGAATTGCAACGTTGGTCAGAAGATCCACCACTTTGGTCCAGACTGAAATATCTCAACAACTATTCAAATAATTGTCATGCAATGTTGTACAGACATTCATCGTTCCCAGAAGAGGAATCCTAATGTTGATCTTCTGTCATATTCGTAGGTTTGAGTCAAACGTCTCGATAAATGTTGGATGGATTGTTGTAAATTGTGGTACTTTGTTACGAATAAACTCTGGTGATCCCTTAACTTTCGTCCAGCACCATCATCAGGTCAAAATGTCACTTGGTGTATTTATAGGCTACGGTGGTTTATGACAAAATACTTGCAAAACTTGCAGACATTATCATCAGTCTCAATACTAGCTCTTCCAGATTATGTTCCAGAATTAACAAAACCTCTGAAAATCACACTGACATTTATAAAGATGCAAATAACAATGAATAGATAAGGATGGTATTTTTAAAAGAAAATTATCTAATATCGTTATTGACTCAATATTTCTGTTTTTAGCAGCCTTTAAGGAGCGCCATCTCCCATGAGACCTAGACCATCGCGTCACAGCTCACCAACAGACCATGGGTGAGTCAGGGAGCCACGCTAGTTCAGACATGTCTGTAGTAACAGCGGGACAACTGTGTAGACGTTTTAGACAGCAGAGATTACGGCTAAAAAGTTGAGGAAATGACTTTAGAAGAGATATTATATTTGGACAAAACCAAGTGATAATGGCGTAAGTCCCTGCTCTGCTTCACAGGTACATTTTCATGGGAGTTCTAGTTTTTCTAGGTTTACAAAGTACAACTTTTGCAAGGGTTCAAAGGTTTAAATCTCTGATAGCCAAGTGCTGAAATTAATGCCAATTTGTCTTAGATATGGGAACAGGCTTATTTTGTTAGGAACGACCCACTGAAAGAAATACTCTCATCAACTCTCTACGTGCTAAACAACAGCATGTTCGCATTTGGCTCAAAGTGCCATTGCTGTGCATAATGTCAGCCTCACAGAGTGGCTACAACTCAGTCTTTTAACAAGGTTCAGAGAACTCAGTGGAGAGTTTAATGGTGACAGCGTGGTACTTTCACTCAAAATGCATCATGTCTAGTAGCTGCTTTGCCGTATGATAAACTGAAAACGAAACGAAGCGTCCATGATGGTTTTCTGCTCCTCAGACACTAAAATAAGGCTAGTCCAGGTACACTCTTCACCGCTAATGAGTGAACTTGTTCAATCTTCATCTGTTGTCCAACGAGAGCCAGAAATAAACCAGCCATATCTTATTATGTCATAAACACACACCACAGGACAACACCACCACTGAGTCAATCAACCATAAATGTGAACCAGAGCAAAACAACTGGGTTTTTTTTAATTTCTAAAGGTGGAGGGCGGGATTTCCTTCCTGCCATTGGAATTTAATTATGTTGTGTTAGAAAACCAAACTTCCGCTGTGCTCGAGCTGATGTTTAGAACAGGACCGCAGCTACAGAGCCTGTTTGGATCCATAATTACACCATGGCAACATAAGATGGGGTTATTTTTCTTGGATTGTACTCAGCTCATGGGAAAGATTCAGAATTGTGTTGTTTTTAGTGGTAAGCCAAATAAACAGAGAAAATTGGGAACTTTTTCTCCTCCAACGAGAAGAGGAGGGAGGATTTTTATGGGGTTTTTTTAACACTCAGATGATACATCTTGTCAGATATTACTGGAGATTAACTAAAAATTAGGCCAAGATTAGCATTTTGTCAATTAAAGGAGCCTTTTAAAAATTGTGTGTTGTGTTATAGGAAAGACATAGCAAATGCAATATTACAAAAACAAGTGAAAAAGATTTCAAATGACCACAGACACAGATAACTTTAATCACATAAAATGCAATTAATAAAAATATCTGATTGCTGGGTAATGCAGCATGCAAATGGATTACATGTCCACAAATAACATGATACGGAAGCAAAGCTGACGTGATAAGCTCAATTGTTAAGTCTGGCGATGAGAGACTAGAGCAGACTGGCTGCTTGGATCAAACTCCCTCCAGGCAAAGCACAGAGAGTAAATAAGATTAGGAACTCTTGGAAGATAAATCTTCATTTAAACATCCGAGGAACCAAAACAAAGAGCATATTTCATCTCAGCAAACTACAAAAACACTGAACAGTTTAGTGAATCATCCCTTCCATTATTGTACTGATCTACAGCACAAGACAGCAAAGGATACTCTGGCAAGAGTGTAAGTCAGACTGTGGGCATCGTTTGTTGAGACAGCTACATTTCCTACATTAGACTTGGATATAGATCAAACAAATCCCTCCGTTCCTTGCGGTTTTTTTTGCACACAAACACAGAAAAAACCTAAACCACAAAACAAACCATGACGCACACAGCTGGGGACTGTCATTTTCATTGCCACTAAATACTTGTGCTGTCTGTTTGTGTGAGCAGGACAGAAGGATGATGTATTGAAACATCTTCTTGGACCATCTTAAGAGTCGCTGTCACATCCCCAAGATACACAGACAAGTAAGTGTGTGCCCAGTCTGTACGCTGTGTGTGTGTGTGTGTGTGTGTGTGTGTGTGTGTGTGTGTGTGTGTGTGTGTGTGTGCAGACCACAGTCGGCCTCCAAGAGCTGGCTGCGCCCCAGGAGCCTGTTGTGTGTCGGCCCCGGCCAGCAAGTGGTCAGCTATTGCTGGCATGGAGAACAGCTGGCACAGAACACACAACCACACACACACACACACACAACCACACACACACACACACACACACACAACCACACACACAACCCACACACACACACACACACACCACACACACACACACCACACACACACACACACACACACACACACACACACACACACACACACACACACACACACACACACACAC